ACTGAAAATGGATAGGCCTCAGCCACACCAAAAACAGTGGCCAAAATGATGAAGTGATAGAATGAAATGCACAATGAGCATGCACATGCAATGGTCCAAGAGTTAAGGCATAAGGTCACAACACCCAAACATGAGCGAGGGATGACAATCATGGTAGCATGGTGACACCATAAGCTCTGAAATTATGTTAAGAGTGATGCCAAATCAAGCACATAACACAAGCAAGGCATGCTAATGGACTTCAAGTTCAAAGTTAGCCAAGGTACTTGAACCATGGCCATATCAACCAAGCCCCACAGGACCAAGGTGACCCAAAACAATCCCAAGACAGTCCAAAACAAGGCTAGAACATGCATGGAATGAGGCCAAAACATGCTAGAAAGGTGAGCACAAAACAAGACGCATACAAGGCCAAAAGGGGCAATTGCACTACACCTATTACAACCAAACATGGCATGACTTAGGCCAATAAAATCAGAGTTATGGCATGTTAGAATAAGCACAAAAACCCACTTAGATGGCATCCCAAAGGCCTAAGTATGATGGCATGCACAATGACCTATTCTTAAGGCATGAAACACAAACTATCCATAGCATGGAATAGGTGATAAATGCAAGTGTGTGACCATGAAACATGGACTGAAATTACATTTCACATGATGCCAAATCATGAAAATACTTCAAGTAACACATGCTAATGAACTCAAGGCACAAAACTTACAAGCTAGAATGAACCAAGGCTATGCAAAACAATGCATGCACGACCAAGACAACACCGAATAGAGTTTAATCATGGTAAAACACGAGGAAAAGCTCCTTGGAGTCGAGCCAAAGCATGCAAGAATAGTGGTCCAAACACAAGATGCATGTTATGCAAACATGCAAGATTACTCTACAAGTATGTGAAGCATGCAAGATGCCATCAAACCAACATGGAATAGAGTTAAGGAAGGTCCTAAAAGCCACTAAAAAGTGTTGAAATAGAACCAAGACATGCTAAGTAAACATGCTACTCTTATAAGCCAACAACACAAGTATATGAGACCTAAGGAGAGAGGGGTGTCCCCCTCCTATACAAGACTCCAAAACCACTTCTCCACCACTAAAAATCCTCTGAATTTCACTGGTGGGAAGGTCAAAATAAGATGATTCCAAAGCTCAAAAGTAAAGGCACAAAACAAGGCCAAACAAGGCCTAAGAGGGGGTAGACAACCCCCAACCAAAAAGTGACCTTAAGCAACTAAAACAAGCATATAAAATTAGAACTTTTTGTAGTTTAGAGCTAAGATTAAAACAACATGCAAGTAAGTCTAAAAGCTTAAGCCAAAATGGGGTATCAAAAGCTAATTGACTCATCCTTGAAGAACAACTTCAAGAACACAACTCCAGCAATCTTCTTGGATCAAAAACAGCCCAAGAACTCTAATATCAACCTTATAGTGCCTCAGCAACCAAAGATAGTGTAGTGCTAGGTGTTTGTGTGCAATAGTAAGAACAAAACACACTTTTGAGCTCAAACACACACACAAATCTAGAGAGAGGGAGATATAGAGAGAGAGATATATCTAACTTGTATATCAGATTCCTAGAACCCTTGGAAAGGGAGAGGAGGCTCTCCTTTTATAGAAAACCAATTTTGTAAAGCTTCTTAGAGAAGCTAAGCAAGGCTCAAATCCCTCCATACACGTGTATGGAGGGGGGAATTGTGCGTGCCAGCTGTGCCAGTTGGCACAAAATATCTGTCAAAACAGATGGAATGGGGTCGGCCGGAAAATATGGCCGATTGACCAACAAAGGTGGCCGACCGACCAAATATAGTGCCGATCGGCCAACACCTTTGGCCGATGGAAAGAAAAAGGGGCCGATGGCTTCAAGCCTTGGCCGATGGGTTGAGGGGATGGCTAACAAGCCACCCTCTTCCCTCAAAAGCAAAAACACAAGCACTTGGTGCACAACCAAGCACAAAATAGTCAAGTCAAGAGATCTTGAGGCAAGGCACGCGACCGAGACCTCCGGGAACTCAAAACGAACACGAGCATGGATGATCATCGAGTGTTCAGACGATGACATCCAAGTCTTGAGGACAGTCAAAAATGGGGTGTCTACACTCGGTTTATCGAAAAGCGCGACATCTAACAAAATGTGAGCGTCGGAACATCGCAGAAGAATTTTCAAAATTTTTTTGAAAGAGAGGATTTCAAGGTCTCAAAATCTTTTGATCAAGATAGTTTTGGTCCAAAAAGGGGTGTGAAGTTGAGATTTGACTCTCTCTTTGCTAAAGAAATCGAACCCTTGCACTGCACGACTTTCACCACCAAGTAAACCATCAGTAATGACCAAGTCTTAAGGGCGGTCAAAAATGGGGTGTCTACAAACCCCTTTCATTAGCTTAATGAGTTAAGTCCTTAAACATGCATTACATGAGTTATTTGCATTGTTTTTAAGTCACTTAGCATGCTATTTCAATGCTGAAATATGTGTCATTGCACTCCATTGTTTTAAACTTTCATTCACTTTTAAAGTGGCCTTAAGCCCCTTGTTGGTTTGAGCATGAACTTGAGGCATTCATGCCTATTGGTTTTAATCCTCCCTTGAGGATTTCTACTAATCAATAGCATGATACTTCCTTCATGCTCAAGGCACTCGAAGCTTAGGTCATCTTTCAAATTAGAGGACCTTTCACATTGAACTTAACCGGTTAATGGACTAATTGGTAAGCTCAAATGTGTAAACAAGAATTGAGCAAAGTAAAACATGCCAAGATAACATATGTGTGTTGTATTGCATGTGTTTGGATCGAACGTTAATCCAAACACAAGAAATGTGGGACGTTTCATACTCAAAGTGATGAAATGTATTGCATTTCTTGGTCGCCGACACCCTTGATCATTCATGATAGGGTGGAGGCACTTTGAGTCTTATGTGCGCATTCACTAAGCTTGTACAAGCTTGGTTCTTCGGCCATCATGCATTGAGATGCTTGATTGGTGGCTTGAGAGCCAAGTATCACATTCCTTTGAGCTTGAGACATGATGAGGAGGGTGGTAGTACACACATTTCTTGCCAAATACATTGTCTTGGCTCTATTGCTCTCTGTTGCAGCAAAGGCATAATTCTGGAAAGAGAAGTGGCCGGCCGGCCACTTGCACTAGCCTACCGACCACTTTCACTGGCCAGCCGGCCAATTGAGGTAGCCTATCGACCAGTTGAGGTGGCCGGCCAGCCACCTGCAGGAGAAATTGTCCAAAGTATTCCTGTATTAAGGCAGATGCAATCTAGAAGTTCACATGATGTTCTGAGATCACCGCGAGTGCAAACAGTGGCAACTCATGGCAAGACAATGCATTTTTGGGCGAAGCAAACCGAGCATGCATGTCTCCCTCCCCTCGAGGCCATTTTACTGCTTTACTTAGCTAGTTAATTTGCCAGTTTTGTAATTAGTTAGTTAATGTGTTTAGCTAATTTAATTCATCTTTGTAATATTCTAATTAGCTTAGATTAGCTAGTTATTCAAATTCAATTTGGTTTGTAATAATTAATTAGCTAAGTTAGTTAATTAGTTGGTTTGTAATAGTTAGCTTAGCTTAGCGTAGCTAGTTAGCTTATTTATTCGGACCCTCCTACGAGAGGGTGTATTGTTGTAATAAGCCTGCGTGTATGTGTGCATGTCTTCCAACCCCACTTCTTTCTCCCTTTTACTTAACCACTTTCGATGGTTAGTTTAGGGCATACTTCGATTAGCATACCTTATGCTTGCATGTTTGCATCATTCATTTGTTTTGCATGAACCGGGCTCGGCGCATCATTCAAACTACATCGTATTTCAATACGCTTACTTGAATACGTGTTTCAAAGCATGTTATCAAGTGTTGCATTCATATGCCATCTTAGATAGCCGAGCCTTTTAGTTGCATTTTGCATGTGTTGCATTAGGCATCTAATATAGTTAGGATCATGCATGTTTCTAACTAGTTTTCTGCTTTGGCTTAGAGTATACTGTAAGTTTTACGCTTTAGCATACTTGCATGAGTGTGAGTGTTGCCATGATAGCATACTTGCCATGAGGCTATTTGCTTAAGTGCTTAACTGCATGAATGCCTGTGGGTAGAGGCTTGATTGCCTGAATTGGGACAATTCATCAAATGCGAATTTTAAAGCCCACTTTGCGAAGTGGCAAAATCTTGTTTTCAAACCCGCTTGAGGGTGGCAAATTCGCGCTTTAACCTACTTGCGAGTAGCACTTTCAAATCATTTTCGAAAGCAAACATGAGTTGTTTTGTTCCAATTCTCGTGATTGAGTCTATACTTGTATGTTGTGCGCATCACATAGTAAAGATAGTTAATAACCGGAATAAGAACACATGTGTTTATCAAACAACATATCATGCTTAGTAGAGGCCAATCCTTTGATTGGGTGAGCGGGGTGCTCATTGCATGACCTTCCCCTCTCGTACCCAAGTTCCCGAGTTGAGGCACCTTTGGTGATGACGGACACGTGGCCTTTGGCACGAGTGAGGGTTTCCTAAATTTTCCAAAATAAAATATTTAGGTGGCGACTCTGTAATCTAGCAAAGCAGTCTATGTTTGGCGCTTTTCATTCAAAATTGATTTTCCAAAACCAATTGCCAGATTTGGACTCTTTGGTGTTTATCAGTCTCACATTGCACTTTGTTAGATTAGATTCAGAACCGTGACAGGAGTCCGAACTGTAGTAAGACAAATTCGCGCCTCTCCGAAAGGGGGGCGCACGAAGAAAGTCGAGTCTACAGCGGCATTTTGCAATGAATAAGAGGATTCTTACTCTTGTCAAGAGAAGACTCGAAATAAAAGATGAAGCAGGGATCGGGCTAGCTAAGAATTTTCATTCTATAGTTGTTGAAGCGGGAGGATATAAGGCATTAACATTTGATGAATGAGATGCAAGAAATCACATTGAGAATGCAAGAAGATTGAGGCTTAGGGTAGGAAATGCCGAATCAGTTAGGCTTTATTTTCATAAGATGCAACAACAAAATTCCAACTTCTATATTGCAATTGATTTCGATAAAGATGGTCACATGCGAAGCTTGTTTTGGACGGATGCAAGGAGTGGGGCAACTTACAAAGCATTTGGTGATGTTGTTTCATTTGACACAACCTATCTGACAAACAAATATGATATGTCGTTTGCTCCATTTGTAGGAGTTAATCACCATGGTCAATCAATTTTGTTTGATTGTGGACTGTTATGTAATAAGAACACTGAGACATTTGTGTGGCTATTCAGAGAATGGTTAAGTTGCATGTCAGATACTCCCCCAATAACTATAATAACTGACTACTGTAGAGCTATGAAAAATGCCATAGAACTTGTCTTCCCACAAGCTCGACATCGTTGGTGCTTATGGCATATAATGAAGAAAATTCCGGAGAAATTGAGAGGATATTCCCAATATGAAGCCATAAAGTTTTCTTTGCAAAATGCGGTTTATGATTTTTTCACAAAATATGAATTTGATGAAGAATGGCAAGCGATGATTGCGAAGTTCAAACTTCATGATAACGAGTGGTTGGGGGTATTATACAGTGAGCGACATAGGTGGATTCCTGCATATGTGAAAAACATTTTTTGGGCTGGCATGTCAACTACTCAACAAAGTGAGAGTATGAATGCATTTTTTGATGGATATATGAACTCAAAGACAACTTTAAAGCAATTTGTTGAACAGTATGAAAATTCCTTGAGAAGTAAGGTGTAGAAGGACACCAAACCAGACTTCAAATCTCGAAACAAGTTGTATGATTGCTTAACGGTATATGAGTTTGAAAAGTAATTTCGTGCAGCCTGCACTAATGCAAAATTTAAAGAAGTTCAAGTACAATTGAACCGTCTATTGTACTTTCATGTGAATCTCGTGAAGAGGATGGCTCAATTTGTACTTATCATGTGAAAGAGGCTGTTGTCGTCGGTGATAAAATGAAGAAAGTGGAATTTGTTGTTTACTTTAATTCATCTAAAAGTCAAATCCAATGTATGTGTCGGTGGTTTGAGTTTAAGGGCATTATGTGTGCCCATTCATTTAGTGTACTCATTGAGAGGTGCATATATAAGATTCCAGATACGTACATTGTGCCGAGATGGAGAAAAGATTTGGAAAGAGGGTACACATGCATTCCAACCACATACACTAAAATTGGGGCTATTCTCAATGCAAAATTGCATGATAAATATCACAAGATGTTGGATGAAATCCTAGAAATTGCTTCCAATGATGATGGTAAACACACACTGATTGATTTTGGGTTGATAGAAATCAAGGAGAGAGTGAGAAAAGATCAATCAGGTTGTGCGAGTAATGTGCCACGTTCAAGTAGTAATGTACTACCTTCTACTAGTGATGAACGACCTTCTAGTACTTCCCCCAAAAGTCCGTCTGGTCGTAGTACAACAAAAGAAATCATGGCTCGCAAGGTGCTTAGTCCTTTGGTTGCTCGACGAAGAGGCCGTCCATGTACCAGACAGAAGGTTAGCAAAGTGGATGAAATAGTCAATCGGTTGAAGGGAAATAAGAAAAAACCTACGAAAGAACAAGTAAATTTGTATATGTATGATTTTTTTCGTATAGGAATTGTTGAAAAATAAATTCTAAGTAAAAATATTGACCAATGTGTCTTACTATATAGGGCCGCAAGGTGCCTCAAGGTCAAACTCACAAGTTACATTTTCCATCTACAGATACCATGCAATATAGTATGTATGACTCGGTATGTGTTTGATAAAGGACTTTAAATTTTTATCTATGTTTTTATTTTTTATTTTTTAAATGATTAATGAAATCGTGTTACTATGATCATAAGGTGGCCCTAACTAAAGCTTACTATTTTCCTGGCACAGATGGCACGCAACAGAGCATGTATGTACCGGCATGTATTCAATATATGATATGAAATATTATGCATTTTTTAAATTTATATATATGTTTGTGGACAATATTTATGAATTTTACTTTGACATTGAATATGCACTAGTTAGCCCAATGGACAATATTGGAAGCACATCTCTTACTGAATCAGGAATGGTGAACAACATACGTAGTCAAACTTCGACAATTGCATCAAAATTTGTTAACTTCAATGTAGATGCGAATCCAAATGGAACATTTTTTTTTAGTTTATTAGAACTACTTTGATGACTTTGGTTTGTAAACAATGGATGGTTTGTGACAATGGATGGTTTGAATTCAATGTAATTGAATTTTGTTTGTGTCAATGCTGCATTTTTTTTGTTGAGGTCAATGCTGTTGCTGCGTTTGTGTTGTTGCTGTTGGTGTGTCACGATGGTGGCTGCTGCTACTGTATTTGTGTTGGTTGAACTCAATGTTGCTACTGCTGCATTTTGTAGATGAATTTTGTGCAGCAGCAGTAACTATTTTCAATCCTCGGCTCCGATCTCAACAGTTTCCTTCTCTACTGCCCCATTACTGGAACTGAAGGTATTCATTCATTTATTCCCTATTTTGAATTTGTTTTTGTTTTTTGTAGCTTTGAGTCGGTTGGAGTTAGGAATTTCATGCTCTACAAGAAGCCCAAGATGGAGAATGATGCTGCCACTGATGATGAAAAGCAGAGGATTGACAGGAAGGGGAATGGGAGTTGGAAATCATAGTTCAATAAATCTCTCAATCTTAAGATATCAAGCCATTGAAATTACTTCTCAAAAGTTAAAATCATACAACATTATCATTTTAATTTTGTTCTTCTTATTGACAGTTTCTTTGATTTCTTTATGGTTTAGTTTGGATTTGGGTTTTGAGTTTTGCAACGAATAATTGTAACCATTTTATTTTCCCTTGCAATAAAATAGAGAAGTTCTGTTTTTATTGGTTGTGTTTATCAATTTTGAATTTTATTTGTTCTTATATTTATTTGTAATGGCTTTTCTGGAGAATTGGCTATTATACTAATAGCTATTAATGGTGAAATTGCATAGAAATTGGGTTCTAGAATGTATTATTTCTTTCTGCATGTTCATGATTGGATGATTTTTTTTATTACACTATAGAATGAAATGAAAGTAAAAAATATATTATCAAGTATAGTGGTCATATAAAAGGTTTTTCAAAAAAATATATGCGAAAAAGGTGGTGAGAGTGCATATGTTTGTTCAAGTACACAACTTCAGTGAATTTTGTGCAGCTGCTGCATTTGTGTTGTCACAATGGCTGCTGCTGCTGCTGCATTTTTTTTGTTCTTGATAAATTTTATTCATGTTCAACAGATATAGTCTCTTTGAAGGCTCAAATGATGTTGAACAGATATATTGGAAGACCAAAACAAGCCTAAAACTATTGAAAAACAGCTCCAAAACAAGTCCAGCAGCAACATAAAAAAATTGAATTTACAATGACAACATATACCTATGACAACATATATCCACAATCCATGAGAACACGACATTTAATTCATGACAACATCGAAGAGATAACATATATACTTTATCCATCATGTCCAGTACATCCATAATTACATCATGTCCAGTACATTGATAATTACATCCATAAAATTCCCCAAAACCTAAATGTTTAACTAATTTACATTATAAAGTACAAAATGACGCAGAATACAATCACATAAATCATCGCCTTGAAATTTTTTTCCATCCTTCGAAGCCTTCTACCATGGTCATGAATTTCAGTGTCCATCTCTGAAAGCCTTGTCCTTACATCATTGAATTCCTCTATCCTTACAACTTTACAAAGTCCAGTATTGGAATGGATTGTGGAGGTAACGTCCTCATCATCATCGTCTGCGAACTTGAAGTAATTGCAGTGTTCTTTAAAAGTCTAAAAAGCATGACAATCAATTAGTCAGATTACGCAAATAATTTTCCAAATACGAAAAAGTTTACTTCATAACACATACTTACATATTTTAATGGCAACACAAAGAATATACACCCTTGATTTCCATTCTCATTGGTTCGTACAATATATATTGCAGTTGTTCTCCCACAGTCTCACATTCTTGGTTTTAATCTAATGTTGCTATTATTTGTAGAAGAAGAAGCCATTTAATCTGCATAAACAATGAGAATGTAATATATATGTACAAAACATATGGGTGTGATTGCAACTTATGCATACGAATCCAGCAATTCATTGTTTACCTATTATTTTGTTCATCTAATTCGATGAGCCTATTAATTTGCATAAACAGATGCAGAGACTCACATCTGGTGTGGTGTAATAGACCCTACTCCTTAATTGGTGTTGTGTTTTCCCCAAAATAGTATTTGAAATTCCTTTTTCTTAAATCTCTATGTTAACTTTTCATATCTTCCATAATCTCAGATGTGCTTGCTTGCTGTTAGTCAACGGAACTCTCCAAAGAAGTCATATGCATAAAAGGGGATTGCTTTCATGAATTTCATATATACTTGATTGATGACAAGGTGTGAAGCATGAATCAATGTGAATAATGAATCAGTGCTAAATAGTCAACGAAACTCTCCAAAGAAAAGGATGAGAAATTTTTATCTTCTTCTATGAATAATGAATCAGTGCTAAAGTACTTTCAGTGGACAACAAAAACCATATATATCTCATCTTTACAACTTGCTATTATATTTTTTTAGGACATGGAAAAATTATTCTATATTCTTGAAATAATATTCAGTGTCTTTACAGCTTGCTGTTGTCATGTTTGATTATACTTTCAGACATTGTATAAAATGGACTGCCCAGAACTTAGACAACAACAGGTAAAAAACTTGTATCAAACACTGCCCAGACATTGTATCAAATGGATTGCCTAGAAAAATTTTTACATGTTCAACACTGCCCAGACATTGTATCAAATAAACAGTGTTGAAAATTTTATTCATGTTCAACAGAAAATTTCACCAACAAACCAATAAGTAGCAGCGAAAATCATCAAATTTTTCATTCGAACAACAGAACATATATGCATACAATACATCAATGAGTCAGGCAAAAGGGAAAAACACAAAACCCCAATTTCTTGAATCAAGCAAAAGGGAAAAACATGAAACCCCAATTTCTTGAATCTTCAAACCCTAGTTTTGCGATGTCGAGTTTACCTGAGATTCGTTTTCAATTGATCGGTAACCCAACGTATTACAAGTTTCTGGCACTGAGAGGAGTCAGATGGGTGTAGTCGAACGAGAGGAGTATCCCGCTAACCACCAAGTCGGAGGAGAATGATGAGAGTATGAGAACTTTCCGGTGTGGAGTCGGATGAGGCAGTCGAATGGAGTCGGATGTCCGCGTAGGAGAGGTAGTTGGATGAGGATTCAATGACAAGGTTTCAAGTGGAGAGGAGAGGAGTGAGGGGATGAGAGCGATAGGGCTTTAGATAGAGAAGGAGAAAGTTTGAGCTCAAACTTTGGATCTGAAAGACAGAGATTGAGAAGTAGAGCGTGACTTCAAAGTTTCGAACCATTTCGAGCCAAAATATTCGAGCTCTAAATCATTTTCATTTATATAATTTATTTATTTTAGCCCATTTATAACACGTTTGATTGCTCATTATTTTATTTTATTTAAATTACAAGACCTGCTCCATCGAAGGGGTATAGTCGACTAATATAGTCTTGGTGAATAAATTTTGAGATCTCATGACGTAACGAGTATGATGTGATAATTAAAAAAAGATTAGTGTATGTTTTTTAAATGTGATAATGCAGTGGATATGGCGTGACACTTTAAAAAAAAATTAAAAATTCTTCTTTTTTTTTTTCCAAATATAACATGTGATACTCCAATATAACGAGAATGATGTTACACTTCAAAGAAATTAAAAATTCATTGTGGTCCTATTAGCTATGATTGAAAATATCATAACTTACATATAGTACATCCTGTTGATGATTGAATATAATGTAATGACTTATTATTTAATATTGGGATTAAAATAAAATTGTCTTCAAAATAGATGAAAAAGTTAAAAAGTGCATTTTTAAAACATATAGGGTAAATTTTATAATGTAAAATTTAAACTCACAAAGAATTAATTGCTTTTAATAAAATATCTATGTCTATATATATAATTTATTTATTTTAGCCCATTTATAACACGTTTGATTGATTGCTCATTTTTCTATTTTATTTTATTTCAATTGACAAGACTTGCTCCATCGAAGGGGTATGGTTGACTAATAAAGTCTTGGTGTATAAATTTTGAGATTTCATGATGAAACAAGTATGATGTGATAATTAAAAAAAAATTAGTGTATATTTTTTAAATGTGATAATGTGGTGGATATAGCGTGACACTTTAAAAAAAAAAATTGATGTATGTTTTCAAATATAACATGAAATACTCCAATATAACGAGTATGATGTTACACTTTAAAAAAATTAAAAACTCATTGTGGTTCTATTAGCTATGATTGAATATATCATAACTTGCATATAGTACATCATGTTGAGGATTGAATATAATAGAATGACTCATTATTTAATATTGGGATTAAAATAAAAATTGTCTTCAAAATAAATGAAAAAGTTGAAAAGTGCATTTTTAAAACATATAGGGTAAATTTTATAATGTAAAGTTTAAACTCACAAAGAATTAATCGCTTTTAATAAAATATCTATGCCTATATATATATATATAATTTATTTATTTTAGCCCATTTATAACACATTTGATTGATTGCTCATTTTTTTATTTTATTTTATTTTAATTGACAAGACCTGCTCCATCGAAGGGGTATGGTCCACTAATAAAGACCTGGTGTATAAATTTTGAGATCTCATGACATAACAGGTACGATATGATAATTAAAAAAAAATTAATGCATGTTTTTTAAATGTGATAATGTGGTGAATAAGGCGCGGCACTTTAAAAAAATTAAAAAAAATTTAATGTATTTTTTTCAAATATAACATGTGATACTCTAATATAACAAGTATGATGTTACACTTCAAAAAAATTAAAAATTCATTGTGGTCCTATTAGCTATGATTGAAAATATCATAACTTGCATATAGTACATCCTATTGAGGATTAAATATAATATAATAACTTATTATTTAATATTGGGATTAAAATAAAAATTGTTTTCAAAATAGATGAAAAAGGTAAAAAGTGCATTTTTAAAACATTTTGGGTAAATTTTATAATGCAAAATTTAAACTCACAAAGAATTAATTGCTTTTAATAAAATATTTGTCTATATATATATATATAATTTATTTATTTTAGCCCATTTATAACACGTTTGATTGATTGCTCATTTGTATATGTTATTTTATTTTAATTGACAAGACCTGCTCCATCGAACGGGTATATGGTCGACTAATAAAGTCTTGGTGTACAAATTTTGAGATCTCATGACATAACGAGTTTGATGTGATAATTAAAAAAAAATTAGTGTATGTTTTTAAATGTGATAATGTAGTGGATATGGCGTGACACTTTAAAAAAAATTAAAGATTCTTTAATATATTTTTTTCAAATATAACATGTGATACTTCAATATAACGAGTATGATGTTACACTTCAAAAAAATTAAAAATTATGATGTGATACTCCAAAAAATTAACAATTCCTTAGTGTACTTTTTTTAAATGTGACACGTGATTCTCTAACGTGACGGATATTATGTGACATTTTAAAAAACTTAAAAACTTTTGACACTCTAACGTGACGGGTTTGATATAACACTAAAAAACTCTTTAATATATTTTTTTCTAAATGTGACACTCTAATGTAAAAGACAAATGAGTCATTATACATCCAAAATAACTAAATGGATTATAAGAAAAAAATTATATAAGATTATATAGATTACAAGTTTAAAATATGAGATTTATTGATCAATCTCCATATAAAACATATAAGGTAAATCATATAATGTAAATTTTGTTGGAACAATCTTCTGTGTAAATAAAATAAGCTGAAATAATCCAAACAAAATAAAATAAAACTTACAGAATTTATTTTGTTGAACCGAATAAATAATTAAAGACCAAGTCGAGTGTATGACACTCTGTCCTTAAGACAGATTCGCCCTGCTACGGTGCTTACGGTTGAGTGGCATCTATCTCCCAGGATACAATAATCTTCACAAATTTGTAAAAGCACTTCAAACAAATTTGTTCGGCAAACTAGAACCTGTGTTCTATACTCTCTTTGTTATTTTCCTAAAACTAGAATGAAGGAAAATGCACTAAATAAAAGTTGGACAGCAATATAAAGAATGCAGACTGAATTTCGGGTACCAAGACTGCTGGAAATGTCATGTATTTATAGGCACAAAAAGCTGCCCCGAACAGGTTCAACCAAGTAGTGAACAGGTGTGATTTAAATTCAAACAGATATGCTGCCAGGTTTTGAATTTGTTCGAAAATAGCAGATCTGTAACTGTTGGGCAGTTAAAACCGAACCTGCTGGGCAGTTTTCCAATTTGAATCTAAGAGGAATTTCGGACAGAAGGAGACTCAAATGTTGGACAAAAATTGGAATTCAAATTTGAATTAAATTCCCGCAATATTTTTTGAAAAAATTCAAATGAATTTTGTCCAAAAAATTAATACAAGAACCGACCCGATCCACACCCGCGCCCGGCACGGCCGGCGGCAGTGCGCGTGCGTGTGTGTGGTGGTTTTGGCTAAGGTTCACTTTGTCCATAACTCCTTCCTTCTACAAACTTGGGGTGCCCCTTGGGGCCCAACCTAAGTGTTGTAGGCTAGAGCTTATAAACTCAACAAAACTCTCTTAAAGTTTCAATGTGAGACAAGCCTTACAAGGAAACCCACATTTAAAACTTAAATGTTCAATTTCACGAACCCGAAAATGACGTCATCCATTCACTCATAAATGGTTTTGACGAACCGTCTTCACCGTGTGACTTGCCATGCGGCAAGGAACACTTCACCTCTTCGGACCCACCCCAAAAGACGTTTGGGGCCCACTCAATTTTGGGCTCAAAGTTGGCCCAAAATAAGCCTTATAAAACACCATTTCTCCAACAATCCCCCACATGAATGGAATTTGACGAAGAGAAAATGCAACAATATGATCTAAATACAGAGAGTACAGAAATTTGAAATATTCTGCAAAGGATAGGTAGTTTTTGGCTTCGAACCTTCTCTTGTGAGACACTATCGGATTTACTAGCTAACCAATGAACATGATGTCTTGAACTGTTCAGCCGTTTGTGTAAACCAAGACAATAGAACTCACACAGTATATCCCCAGGCACAATTTAGTTCTCACTATTGTGTTCATTTTGGGGGCCCTGAACAACCTAGTCTTTCATGAGTGCTCTAGAGAATTGTCGCCTTCACAAATCTCATAGAACCGGCCCAGTCACAACTCACATAGGTGATTCTTATGAAGATTATCCTGCCTATCTCCACTAGGTTTACCTAGATATAAGAATCATTAAAAGTATTACTTAACCTAAACCGCTGCAAACATCACTATTTCATCATAGAAAGGTAGGAGTTGGACTCCCAGTGATCCTTCTGAGTCAATCAACACTCGGTTGTCCCTTTGAACCTAGATCTTAGGATCTCCAGTCAACTAGGTTGGGTTGCCGTTGTGGTAACTCTTATTTAATAGGCTTTAGTCTCATTCCCCTCGATGAATTCTCAACTAGCTCTCTTGCTAACCCTTTGGTTAGTGGATCCGCTATGTTGTCTTTAGACTTCACATAATTAATGGAAATAATTCCATTAGAGAGTAGTTGTTTATGGTATTATGTCGACGACGAATATGTCGAGACTTACCGTTATACATATGACTCTGTGCTCTACTATTGCAGATTGACTATCGCAATGTATGCATATAGCAGCACCGATTTTGGCCATATTGGAATATCTTCAAAGAAGTGGCGAAGCCATTCTGCCTCTTCCCCAGCTTTGTCTAAAGTTATGAATTCTGATTTCATAGTAGACCTAGCAATACAAGTCTGTTTGGAAGATTTCCAAGATAACAGCCGCCCCACCAAGAGTAAAGACATACCCGCTGGTGGACTTTGAGTCTCTAATATCCGATATCCAATTTTGCATCACAGTATCCTCAAGTACTGCTAGATATCTAGTATAATTTAGCCTAATATTACGAGTAAATCAGAGATACCTTAGAACCTTATAATTGCTTTCCAGTGTTCTACTCCCGGATTACTCGTATATCTACTTAATTTACTTACTGCATAAGCTATATTCAGGCGAGTGCAGTTCATCAAGTACATTAAGTTTCCAATAATTTGGGCATACTCTAATTGAGAAATACTTTCTTGTACATTCTTAGAAAGATACAATTAACATCTACAGGTGTCTATAGCAAGATGATCATCATTTTTGCTAAATTTGTCAAGTATTTTCTCAATATAATGAGATTATGACAAAAAGAATATCCTTCTGAAGTTTTGGTAATTTTCATACCCAATCCCTATGTCTTTCATGTCAAAATGTTTATTCATTTTTTTGGTA